TTATTTGCTCAAAAAGTATATTGGTTTCAAATGATAGTCTTGGAAACCCAATCAAATAAAAAATAATCAGACATTAAATGATTTTCATTCACCTTGTATATCTGATGCTTTTGTCTGTGATGGAAAATCAGATTGCCCCAATCAAGAAGATGAGTCAAGTGATCTTTGTGGACAAGATGCCTGTACAGGGTTTCCATATCACATATACCTATATTTATATTTATACATGATGTAATAATTATTTAATATTTAATTAACTAATTCTTCTTTCAGGTAAACTACGTTGTAGTGATAACAGATGCATCCAAGACATTGTGTGGTGTGAAGCAAAAATACCTCATGATTGTTGCCGAAATAAAAATAATGCAGATCATATGACCCATGATGAAATGATATTGAGTGATTCTAAAAGTACAATGCACAATACCATGTTAAGAGTAATGGAGATTTTGATAAGAGATTCAGATTTGTAAATGATTATGGAGAACATGTCTTTGAAGGGAGTTATCTTAGAACAAGAGATTCAAAATCTGGAGTTGATTTTTTACATATTACCATATATACTATCATAGGTGGGTAATAATTTATTTTATTTTTTCTTGGAGTTATAGTTATTATTATAAAGAGCAGATCGTTTTTTGTTAGATATGGTTTTTTATTTTTTTATCTTTATTACTAATCATTTTGTAACATCTATTTTGTTTATTCTAAAAATAGTTCCCAATTTATTGTTAATTATGTGTAGACTTCTTCAGAGAATTTTGTACTGGATATTGTCTAACTTCTTTATTTAGAATAAACAAAATTGATTTAAATTTTAGATTATTTAATTTTGAAGCTTATCAAAAATGTAAAAGTTGCACACATATTAATTTTTCATTTTCTATTGTTATTTTAATACTAAACCAATTTACCACAAATTTTATCTAATAAACTTTTAAAGCCTATTAAAAAAAGATTGAATTTTTTCTATAAATGCTGAATTATTTGTGTATCTATTATTTGTGTTCTATAAATGCTATATTATTTTGTGATTTTTTTTCAGCTTGTGCTATAGCATTAACCATAATTGTCCTGGTACTTGTTACAATGCTCTGCAAGACATATATATCCAATAGACAACATTTTGAGCAAGAGAATTGCCAGTCCAATAATTATCGATATTCTACCTATCAGGATATGAATCGGTTTAGGCAGCCGATGTATCGAAATGGAAATTATCAATATCCAGCAGTTGACAATCACAGAATGTTTTCTGCTCCAAGATCTGCTGAAAATGAGCAAATTAGAGAAAATTGTTCTATAAGAAATTTAATCACTAGGTGGTTAGGGATAATACGAGGGAATGAAGCAGAACAAGATGATGAGGAAATGTCCAGGAGAATGAATCTTATGAATGAAGGTGAGTTGTAATAATCATATAAGAGATTAAAGTTAAAAATTAAATTTATGTATATGTTGATGCTTAGTGTTATTTTGTAAGCAAATAAGCAAAGCTGAAACAATTTCAAATTCATTATCTGCTTTATACTGCAATGTTTAGCAGAATATGTGAAGTTACTGAGAGATTTTTCTTTTCTTTAATTTTTATTTCTTTGATATAATTCATACATATGTATCTCAGCCAGACAATTACTCTGGTATAAAAGGTCATAGCAATCTTATTACAAAAATGTTTTTTTTTATTTTCTACAATAAATTTACATAGTGACTTATATTTACTTGCTTACATACATACATACATGCACACTTACATAAATATAACTTTGCATACACATAAGTTATTCATTAAAATCAAAAAATAGTTCTTGCACCAAGTCATTTAGAAATTATATAACAATTAAATTGAAGAAAACTTTTTATCAAAGTTACCTATGCAACTAATATAAAACCTTATTTTATTACAAAGACTATATTAAATTAAATTTCGTTATTTATCCAAAATAGATGATATAGAAAACTTTGTGAGTCAGTATCAGTATAAAATGTTTCTTTCAAAATGAAAATAGAAATTAATTGTACTCTGCAAGATGTTCATTATTACACCTCTGGCATTGATTTTATGAAAGCAATTGAAACCTTATTCACTTGCATAATTCTTTTATCTGACATACTTAAATTTTTTTCTTTGATTTATTTTTTTACCAGGTCTTCTAAACCACAAATATTATAATACGAAAATCGCCAGATATTATTTCAAACATTAACTATCGTATGCGTTGTTGAAATACATTTTTTTAAACTTTTATATAATCACTATTATCTTATATATATATATATATATATATATATATATATATATATATGTATATATACATATATATACAATACCCATAAACATTTTTAAATTTTCTTCTAATTTTTGAACAGCAATTAGAACTTAATAATTCCATTAAAAGCAGTTATGAAACATACCCTTAACAACGTCATTTTTGGAAGGCAATTGAACTATTGTCCTAATTATACTTTTAATTAAACATGACTGATAATATTTTTAATTTAACATGGATCTTTATTTCCACATGCCAACTTGATATTCAATTTTATTGGGTTGTTCGGAAAGTTACTTGTTTCTTATAGACAGTTTGGCACGTAATTTTCGTGCAATAAACAAATTTTTAATAAATTATGTATTGGATGTTTTGGTTGAACATCTTTTGTCATATTTCTGGTATTAGCATAATTCCGGTAACACAAATTTTGGTCGTTATTGGCAAAAAACTGATCAAAGTGTTTTTTGACATGCTGATTCGGTAACGGTTTTACGGTCTAAAATTTATTTTAGTGGCCGGAAAAATAATGGTCCGATGATGGCAGGTCTGGAGAACATGATGAATGTGTCATTGGGTCTCATTCAAGCTACAAAAGCTTTTGGCTATCGATAAAACTTATGTGAGGTTTTGCATCGTCTTGATGCAGGACTATAACTTGCTTGTGAATTAATTCTGATCTTTTCTATGGAAGTATATCATTTAGTTTATCCACCTGATGAGATAAGGCATTTGAATTAACCGTTATGTTATCCTGGAAAAGCTGAAAATGAACAATTCCTTTAAAATCTTACCAAACATACTGCATTACCTTTTGCAGTCAAATTCAGCTTTGCACCTGTTTTGAGCAGGTTCTTCTTTTTTGTTTCATGGGCAATAACGTGTATTGTATTCTTTACATCCCATTTCACATTCCTAGTGACAATTCGCTTCAAATCCTGAATTTTCAGGAACTTTCAGAAGCGAATCGCGGACGTCAGTGCTACGACACACGTTTCTTTCTATGAGAACCATACATTGAGTTTCGAGGAAAATTTCAGACCTTTTGAGTGGTCATGAATTGTTAAATTTTAAAATTTTTAATTTAATGGGATCTCGTGTATTGTTATTTCACGATTTGTATCAACTAATTCTTTTTCCGCGTCTTTATCAGCTTCCACCGTACTTCTTGGACCTGATGCATTTGGACATCAAAATACCAGGAATGAAATTTAGTAAACCAGTTTTGGCTCTGTCGTAATATCAGCACGCCATTTCCTTACACATCGGTCAATTTCATTTTGACTTGAACAGTATTTTTACCTTTTCTTAGCAAAAGAGTAAAATATGTCGAAAATGCTGCTTAATTCTTTCTCTATTCAATGTGGCACCATTCAAAAACTACTGCATGTAATTGATTAGATTTTTTTTTACACAAGCCTTGAAATATAAGTTTTCAAATCATATAATAATTGTGCTGAAGTGTGATGATAGGTTCAAAAAAATATAGTTAAATTCTGGTGGTTACGAAAACGAAGTGACTTTCTGAACAACCTTATAAGATTTTGCAAAATTGCACTCGTGGTTCTTTGTTCAATTTATAATATTTTATACTATATAAATTTAATTTTAAAAATGAATTTGTTCATTTTTGTTGAAGGAACAACAGTAAATTCAAGGTACACTGCGCCTTTAAATCATCCATCCAGTTTTAACTACCGTACAAATACGAGACAATAAATCCGACCGGTTACTCCGTAGTTTCACAATATGACGAAACTTTACCGACAAGTTCTGATTTTCGATGTCCTAGGAGGAGGGATATTTATCATGTCGATAATATTTGCACAGAAAATGATACTGAAACTAGAAATATACATAGTGTGACTACTCAGACAAATAACGCGGATGAAAATGTTATTATAAATTCGCCTTCTAACTTGTGGACTCGAATTTGCAATGCGATGAGAGTGCAATCGGCACGGGACAACACTAATCAAAATGTAGATGATTTGGAAACTACTGCTGGTGAAACTTTTGAAGATGTGAATTTGAATGAATTAAATGATGCAAATGTACCGGCTTATAGCGCTGTAGGAAATGCTAACATTCAATTTTTGGCCAAGGGTTATGGGCCCCAGTTTTAACCAATGACGATAATAATGAAAATTGTAATGCATGTGATAATTTAGATGAACCTGTGCCATTAAGAACTACACTATGGACAAGAATATGTAATATTATAGGTTTTGGCTCATCCCGGATAAACACAAGTAATGATCCTAATCTAAACACTCCAGTCCATTCTGATGATGATGTTTTTGAGCAAGGGGATTTAAATTTAAACTTCAATGAAATTTTATCAAGCGACGAGGATTTCTTAACTAGACTTGAAGATATCTCAAGAAATGTTGTTATGGTATCACCTCCTCCTTATACTGAATTGATGTTAAATGAGCCTCCTGTCGGACCTCCGCCCCCTTACGCTAGTAGGGACAACTTAGCTGATTTTACACCAGGGCCAAATAATAGCTTAATCAATAAATTTGCTGAACAAAATCAAGAGAACCTGAGTGCTGCTAATGAAGGTTTTGTCATGGGAAATAATAATTTGGACAATGACAATTTGAATGAGGAGGTCATGCCTAGTACCAGCACAAGTCCAGAACGACTGATAGAAATAGTCATAATAATGGTATGAAGATCAAAGATGGTGTTGGTTCCAATAATAATGTTAGTAGAAATGGTGATGTAAATTTAATTGTAACTCTAGCAAGATGTTAAGCAAAGCTACTTCTGAAGATTTTCATGTCGGCAATGAAGATTGTAAGAAGTTAACTGATTTACCAAACTGTAATGTTATTACTTGTGATAAAGATGTTAATATAAGCGGCCACTTGATAAATATCACAGATAATGAATCAAGTAGCATTGTAGATAATTTAAATGTAAGTAAAAATTCATTTGGTGAAACTTCTTTAAATGCAAATACTAAATTAAGTTCTAATAACAGTATTGATTTCAAAGATATTTCAAATAATTCGGATCAAAGTAGTGAGTTATGTGTGAATCACAATATTTTAACTGATTCTCAAATTGACTTCAATAAAGGAAATACTTTTTCTTTCAATAAAAGTACATTATCAAGAGATTGTAGTGAAAGTTGTTTAAAAAACATAAATTCAGCTGAGAGTAATAAAAATTTAAGAGATCTTTTCACTAAAAATCCCGCTAAGTATAAATTTTTTTGTGGTAGTTTGAATATAGATAATTGTGATGCATCTAATAATGGAAATGATACTAATTTAAAATTTGTAGAAACGAACAAACTTGTGGGTAACTCAGATGTTCCGAATGATCAACTTTTGAGCCACGGCCAGCTCAAGTAATAAAGGGCATTTTAATGATAAATTGATACAAATACGTACTTTTGTGATAGATCAAACATGAACAATAATATGAATATTTGTGATACCCATTATGACAAAATTAAAAAGAGTTCAGAAGAAAATTTTATAAAACCAATTGCAAGTCATGATTATAATAATTCAGATATGATCAGAGGTAGTAATTCTAAAGAAAATGATAAGCATTTAACTGATAATAATACAAAAAGTAAAGATAATAATTATTCATATAAATGTTAGATCATGCAGTATCTGATAATGCTTTTTCTATGAACTCTTGGCCTGGTATAGGTACCCATTTATTTTGTGATAATTCCAAAATTGATATTTCTCATATAAATCAGAACAGTAATAATTCTATTTTAAATAATACTAATGTAAAAGTAAATTCTGAAAAACTATTTTCTAAGTCTTTTCCAATTTTAGCAGTTGACAAGTTTGACACCGATGTGGTTGTTGATAACACTTCTTTAGGTGATGTTAATACTAATATGAATAGTGATGATAAATTAGATATTCACAATTCAAATATTTATTCCACACTTGAAGATCAAAGTCATGTTAATTTAAGTGAGGAATTAATAAGAGAATATTCAGTTGATAATGTTTCCTCGAATGATAGCTCAAATATTAGAAGCACACTAAACACTAAAGAAATAGAACAATCGAGTTTAGTAAATTCTGAAACTAATGGTAATAATAATGTACTTAGTCATAATAATATAACGATCGAAAATCTCGATGCT